TTAAAATTTTATAACTAAATTATTAAAATTGTAATAATTAAAATTAGTCTTTATAAATAATTTTATAAAACTACTTATCAATTATATAAACTTTAATTTAAAAATTTTTTAAGTTTGTTTAAGACCAATATTTATTTAAAAAAATTATTTTAAAAATCAAAATTTTTGCTTATAATTAAATATTATCAATAAATAATATATAATTAAAACTAATATTATATAAATTTTTAAAAAAATATTTTAATTTGATATTTTTTTTTTCAAAATATATATTTTTTTATATATCATATATTTGAACTTAATTTTAGAAACAATATATTAATTATATATAAACTTATTATACTTTTATATATATAAAATATATTTCTTTAAATTTTTATTCAGTAATTACTTTTTTATTTGAATAAAACTTTTCTTATTATTTAAAAAAATATTTAATTTTAATATTAATATTTTTTTATTAATAATAAATCTTGCCAAGATCTTTTTTTTTCTCAAATCATTTTTAAAAAAAATATATTTTTCTACTTTTTTTTCAAAGAATGAGTTGATATTTTTCAAATTGAACTTTAACAAATTTTTTTAATCAAACTCAAATTATTTCTTATCAAATTTTGAAGAAACAAACAAAATTACAAAAACAAACTTTTCAATGTTAAACAAAAAAGATTTCAGAAAAAATATTAAGTTTCAAAAAATTGAATTATAATTTTCAGAAAATCCTAATTACCTGACTTACCAATATTTACAAACTATATTACAAATTTTTTAACTATACTAGATTTGAATAATAAATTGTTTTTATAAATTCTTAATCACTTAATAATATAACATTCGTTAAGAAAATAGAGTCCAATAATTTAAATGCCGTATATCAAAATCGTTATTATTTGATTTGATCTGTATTATTTGATTTTTGGATATCAAATAATTAATAATAAAAAAATAATATATCGAAATAAACAAATAAAATTTTCCCTTTGAGAACTTCAACTGTAGAGATGTCAATATGCTCTCGGCAATATATAGTATTTGCTTTGTTATATACTATTGTCAATTAAATAATTTTGCTTAAAGTACTTTCTAATAATAATTCTTTAACGTGATCGTTTTCTTTATTCGACAATTCAAATGTTATCGTGGGAAAATTACAATACTCGAAATTCCGATTTTGTGAGTCATATGCTTGATGCTTGATGTGCAGAGTGGTACATCATAGGTGTAATGTATAACATACATTTGTTGTCATTGGATCATAGTATATCACATCGCTTTGTGTGAATACGTAATTCCAAAAAGTTGTAGAAATTATTTCTCAGAAAGTCTAAATTCTTCAGGTGTTGAATTAACATAACAATCAAATGAATCCTTTCATTCGGTCGAAAAAAGAATAACATTTCTTGTCCTACATACTGTATACGGTTTTGGCATATTGTATTTTATTTCTATTATTTTATTATTTTTTTCATTATGGCTTAAATCGTACAGACCACCATATTTGTTTCCATTTCAGTAATAATATCTAACTCTATTTATTGACTTAGATAGTATATTTGTGTTGCTCTCCGGATTTATCTATTTGAAAAAAAAAAAAAAAATCTTTTTTTTTTTTCATATATAAAAGGACGCCCTGTCACAAAATTTCACACGAAACGTCATGTCTCGTCTTTTTCAGATTCCCGAATGTCTTCGACTAATTTTCGTTCATCTTGAGCATGATCGTTCATCACTACATTCTTGCATTTTAGTTAACCGCTTGTGGTGCATGCATTGTATCGATTTTTTATGGAGGCAGCCATTTCATATATTGTATACTTGCAACAAAGAACTATGCAATTGCTCTCTGCTAAAGAGATATTCACAGGCCAGCAATTTACTTAAAACGATTCTATCATGTCTCATTCGGCTGAATCCCGCCTTAATGCAAAAAGAGATTATATCAACTTCACAGTCGATGCCGTTGTTTAACTATGTTAGATACATGAAAAGTTTAGAATTTCACGAGTTAAATATGGCCATTCAAGATTGGTGGTTGGATTACAAAGCTTTCGCTCGAAGAGATCCGCCAAAGGCTATGGATTATTTGAATCAAATTAATGTTTGTCGACGTGATTCGCCAATACCGAAAATTCGGGGATCGACTGGAAGGAAAGATATTATTAGTGATGGGTCGGAATGTAAAAGATACGTGACAAAGGATTGTTTTGCGATTATACTTTTTCTCAACACCGAATCCGAGTCATTATCAGATCACGGTCCAAGATTAACCTCGCAAGATCCTATCGAATTTAATATGCAAGTTCCTTCTTTCGACTTGAGCCTCAATCCAAAAATAACATGCGATCGCCCTGCTCCAGAGAACCTTTGCCGAAGGATGGCGCAGGTCATGTGCAAAACCTTTATGAGCGGTAGTCGCTCAATCGAACAAATTTCCTTTGACTCGAGATTCGCAGCCAAGAGTTTCGGTCAACAAGATAGTTGTTATTCCAACTTGTATTGGCATAGAAATTCAGGATACCGGAATTCATTTTTTGATGATTATCTCACCTTTTCAAACTATCCTGGTTCCAGTGTATGCCTTGCAAGGTTGACAAAACTGGTTTGCACTACTCGACACCGCAAGGCCACCTTACTTTTATCGCTTTCGAGAATTTGTCAACACAACATAATTTTTGTAGACCAAATAATCGATAGTGACAGCAAAACAGTACTACCATGGAAAATTATTCAAATC